GATGCCGGGCTAGATGTCGCCACATGTGGGCCCCAGGGTGGGGGAGAGATGGAGGAGATGTGGCGGACTCGAGGTGGCAGATCCGGAGTGACTTGTCTCCCCGGAATGCTCGACCAGTCCCCCCCATGTCTGGCCATATCTCCCCCAGATGTCCACCAGATCTCCCCCAGATCTCCCCCAGATCTCCCCCCACCCCCCACAGGAGCTCATCGAGGCGATCGTGCTGCAGATGACACACAAGGAGCGCTTCGCCAACCTCGGCATCAAGCCGCCAAAGGGAGCGCTCATGTACGGCCCGCCAGGCGCCGGCGAGATATGGCGAGATATGGGGAGATGTGGGGAGATGTGGGGAGATGTGGGGAGATATGAGCGCTCATGTACGGCCCGCCAGGCGCCGAGATGACGCGAGATGACGCGAGATCGCCCGAGATTGCCCGAGATACATCAGCGCGCATGTGCGGCCCGCCAGGCGAGATATCTCCCCCATATCTCCCCCAGATCTCCCCCATATCTCCCCATATCTCCCCATATCTCCCCCAAGCACTGAGCCCGCCAGGCGCCGAAAGAAAGAAAGAACACAGGCAGCCCAAGGGAGGGGGTGGGAGGACGGCGCACGCCGCCACCACACAGGGATGTTAAGGAGAGGAGTGTGGTGGTGCTAGCCGTCGCCCAGCCTTGGAGGGTGCCTGCCTCTTCCTGTCGCCAGGCACCGGCCAAGGCGCTCCTCCTCCCACTGTTTTCTTTCGCACCCCCGGTTTCTTTTCTTCTTGCAGGCACCGGCCAAGACGCTCCTCCCCCCACTGTTCTCGTTGCCGCGCCCACGTTTCTTTTTTCTTGCAGGCACCGGCAAGACCGCTCCTCGCACCTCGGTAGCCCTCTCCCACGATTGGTTTCTTTTGTCACGCCCGGCGTCTGTTTTCTTGCAGGCACCGGCAAGACGCTCATCGCGCGCGCCTGCGCGGCGCAAACCAACGCCTGCTTCCTCAAGCTCGCGGCTGCCTAGAAGCGGAACATCTCCCCATATCTCCCCGTATCTCGTGCCCTAGAAGCGGAACATCTCCCCGTATCTCCCCGTATCTCGTGCCCTAGAAGCGGAACATCTCCCCGCATCTCCCCACATCTCCCCACATCTCCCCATCTCCCCGCATCTCCCCATCTCTGCCATATCTCCCCATACCTCCTTGCATCTCTTCACATCTTCCCACACCTCCCCACATCTCCCCACATCTCCCCACATCTCCCCACATCTCCCCATATCCCCATATCTCGCGGTAGGCTCGCGGGGCCTCAGCTGGTCCAGATGTTCATCGGCGACGGCGCGAAGCTGGTGCGCGATCTCCCCACATCTCCCCACATCTCCCCACATCTCCCCACATCTCGCCACATCTCGCCATATCTAGCTATATCTCGCCGTATCTCCCCATACCTTCGCCACGTAGGTGCGCGACGCCTTCGCGCTCGCCAAGGAGAAGCCGCCAATCTCCCCATATCTCCCCACATCTCCCCACATCTCCCCACATCTCCCCACATCTCCCCACATCTCCCCATATCTCGCCAAGGAGAAGCCGCCCGCCGTCATCTTCTCTCCTCTCCCCCCTCTGTCCTCCTCTGTCCCCATCTTTTCTCTCCCCATCTCTCCAGATCTCCCCAAATCTCTCCCAATATCTCCCAATCTCCCCCCCGGGGGTCTCTCCCGGTGAAAACCCGTGAACTAGCCGGGGCAGTCGGAGAAAGTGCAACTCCGTGCACTGACGGTCGGCCGTCAGAAAACACGCCTCCGGGTCTCGGGTTACACCAATTCCTCGCTACCCAAAGCGGCGAAAGGATATCCACC